TAGTCTCACCACTGACACTGGACACTGAACATGACCCCTAGCATGTCTAGCTCTGCTGCCCTTGGAAGCTGGTGGTTTTTTTGCCAGAATGCATTGCAAGCAGTGCCTCCATTTTCACTTCACCCTCTTCTGACCTGCAGTCTCATTTTGTTGTGGAACTGGGGTACCCAGGATATATCTAGCTGTGTGCAACCCTGAGAAGATGAGTTTTTTGCTTCTATCTTAGGGATGAACTCATAAAGTAGGAGCTTCCAAACATAGAAAGGGTGTTTCAAAGGTTATCTTATCTTACCAATATGGCTTATTACCTAAAACACATAACAATAAATACCTGTTGATTTATTACTCTTCAGTATCCTCCATTAAAACAGTACCTTTGGGATCATCTAATCCGGGGGTCTCTAACCCCTGGGCTATGGATGGGTACCGGTCCATGGCCTATTAGGATTCAGGCACACAGCAGGTGAGCGGCAAGCGAGCAAAGCTTCATTTGTATTTACAGCTGCTCCCCATGGCTCACATTACCGCCTGAGCTCCGCCTCCTGTCAGCATTATGGTGAGTTGCATAATTATTTCATTATATATTACGATGTAATAATAATAGAAATAAAGTGCACAATAAATGTAACGCGCTTGAATCATCCAGAAACCATCCTCCCCCACTCCACCCCCATCTGTGGAAAAATTGTCTTCCACGGAAACCAGTCCCTGGTGCCAAAAAGGTTGAGGACCACTGATCTAATCCATACCTTCTGTCTTACAAAAGAGCAAACAGACTCAGAGCAATAAAGTGATTTGATTGTGGTCAGACTTTTAGTTCTTAGTAGAGCTGATGTTATGGTTTGAGGATGTAGTCCAGGAAAGATTCCCAAAGGTCTAATACAATGTACAGTGATGTAATAGTCTTCTTGTGCCGAGAACTGCTTATGTGCCTTATTGTGAAAGTACTAGTTATTCACATTCTTAATATTTTTGGAAACACTCTAAAGTTCTAGATTTGCAAAATAAAAACATTCGTTTATTTTTTTCTATTTTATTGTATGTGGCAGTCTACTAATTTTCCCCCAACATCTTTTCACCCCTTCTTCCACAGTAATAGAAACCCTGAGTTTTTACTGGGCCATGACCACCAAGAATAAAGACTATATTCCCAGCCTCTTTTGCAGCTGTGTGTGGCCATGAGATTACATTCTGGATGTAACCAGAATTGTCGTATGCATCTTCTGGGAAACATTCTTAAAATGTTGAGTCATGCCCTTCTCTCTTTCCTCCTTCCTGCTGACTGGAATGCAGTTGGAGCTCTAGAAGCCATCTCAGAAAATAAGGTGAACTTGAGAATGGAATGCTCACATGGTAAAGCAAGAAAACAGGACACCAGTTTCCTAACACCATGGAGCACCATACCAACTATGAACTTACTACCTCCAAACTTCTTGTACGTGAGAGACAAACTTTCTACCTTGTTTATTGTTATTTTAGTGTATTTAGTTTTAGTTTTTCTGTTATTTGTAGCTGACCAGATCCTAATTAATAATCCCTGGGGGGCTTCCCTGGTGGCGCAGTGGTTGAGAGTCCGCCTGCCGATGCAGGGGACGTGGGTTCGCGCCCCGGTCTGGGAAGATCTCACATGCCGCGGAGCGGCTGGGCCTGTGAACCGTGGCTACTGGGCCTGCGCGTCCGGAGCCTGTGCTCTGCTGCGGGAGAGGCCGCGGCAGTGAGAGACCCGCGTACCGCAAAAAAAAAAAAAATAAATAAATAATCCCTGGGCTCAGGACATGGAAACAACCTAAGTGTACATTGACAGATGAATGGATAAAGAAGATGTGGCACATATATACAATGGAATATTACCCAGCCATAAAAAAGCGAAATTGAGTTATCTGTAGTGAGGTGGATGGACCTAGAGTCTGTCATACAGAGTGAAGTAAGTCAGAAAGAGAAAAACAAATATCGGAATCTAAAAAAAAAAATGGTTCTGATGAACATAGGGGCAGGACAGGAATAAAGACACAGATGTAAAGAATGGACTTGAGGACATGGAGAGGGGTAAGTGTAAGATGGGACGAAGTGAGAGAGTTGCGTTGACATATATACACTATCAAATGTAAATTAGATAGCTAGTGGGAAGCAGCCGAATAGCATAGGGAGATCAGCTCCATGCTTTGTGACCACCTACAGGGGTGGGATAGGGAGGGTGGGAGGGAGGGAGATGCAAGAGGGAGGGGATATGGGAATATATGTATACATATAGCTGATTCACTTTGTTATATAGCAGAAACTAACACAACATTGTAAAGCAATTATACTCCAATGAAGATGTTAAAAAAATAAAAAATAAAAATAAAGACACACCAAAATATTTGCTTGTTTAAAAAAAAAAAAATCCCTGGGCTCATCACCTTGATTACTAATGCTGATGCAGACCCAACTGGGTGATACGATCCCAACCTGGGCATGTTATGTACAAGGCAGGGGCAAGTTGATGCCACAGTCTTGAGATGGAGTCCTCAAGTACATAGCAAATCACCACCACCAGCCAGTCCAGTACTTACCTAAGTGATAAGCCCAAATAACACCAGCCAATAGATAAGACACAGAGACTTTGCTTTTCAAATGTGGTTTAGAAATAGTTCATGGTCTTTTAGTTTTAAAAGATTTACCCCATTTTTCTTCTTTCAAACTTCACCTCTGGACTGGGTTTCCAGCTTTCCAGAAAAACTTTTACACTCTGTACTCAATCCTTGTTCTTTGATAGTCTATTTTTCCTTTAACACTATTCACTCTTTTTTTTTTTTAGCTCTTTCAAATCATTTTAATAACCTGGGAGTGATTCGAAGTATGAAAAGATTCAAACATTTTCCCTTTAAAGGGGATGCTACCATCATTGCCTCACAACAAGCATGATCAAAGGCAATGATGAGACTGGATTCCAAAGAGCAAGGGTCGTAGGAAGGCTTCAAGGCTCACGGATTGGAGAACTTGGTTTCAGAAAGTCTCTCGAAGGCTAGCAGGCAGAAGAGACATGAAATTTTCAAAGATCCTCAGAGGATGGGGCACGGTTTCTGGGTCATGAGCACCTTGAAGTGTCTCTTGATGGTGATTTGGTGTCTAGAATATTTATCCGGGGAGAACCGAACAGGATGGGCCGAGCAGGTCTGTTGTCCCATAGGGTCAAGCTTCTTCAGCATATAGACCCCGTCTCCCCGCTCGTTGAGGCAATACTGGAGAAACCCGACCACACTGAAGCCAGAGGTTCCAATTCCATCTGTAGCTCCTCTAACTGACAGCCTCATGTGTTTTCAACACTATTCACTTTTAAAAACATCAAACAGTTCTAAAAGTTTTAATGACATGGTCTATGAGAAAGTTATTTTTTATATTTCTGGTGCAATTGTTAAGGAAAATATATTTCTAGTATTCCTCACATATGAAAAAGAGGACAGTCTTAGACATTAATATGCCAGTGCCTTACAACTGTGGTAGTTATATTCACACAGACTTACGATCAATTACCAAAGCCTTTACATTTTCTAAAAGGGTCAAACAATTTACAAATTATATGGATAATAATAGGTAACATTTATTAAGTACTATCATTTAATCCTCCTCATAACCCTATGAAGTAGATACTATTATTAATAATAAGGAACTGAAGCACAAATGTCAACAAGTAGTAAATGATGAAACTGAGATTCAAACCCTCAGAGCTTCAGCTCTGGGCTTTTTTGGGGGGTGGGGTGGCATATAACGTCTTAATTTCTCAAAGTGCTTTTTTTTTTCTTTTTTTGGCCAGGCAGATTGTGGGATCTTAGTTCCCCCACCAGGGATCAAACCCATGCCTCCTGCAGTGGACGCACTGAGTCTTAACCACTGGACTGCCAGGGAATTCCCTCAAAGTGCTTTTATATTTATTTTATTAGACATAAAGTGAAGAATATAGACTGTTATCTGGATAATTAGAAGAATGCCTCTTGCCTCAGTTACCCGGACTCTTGAAGTTAACATATTTCCCATTTAAATTAATGTTAATTTTGTAAATTGCTTAATATTTTTTATCTTGCATTTATAGAAATAAAACCATAAAATTAAGGAAAATGTGGTATATATACATATTTGCATACATAATTTTAGATAGAGCTTGCAATTTACTTTCTCTTATTCTTTTCACATATTTATTCTATAATTTTAATGAAATATTTCAAGCTACAGAAAAGTAGAGAAAGAATGTAGCAAACACTACTCATCTTCTTGGTCTGTCAAATCTTGATGCTATAGGTGCTAAAGGTAACTTTTTTTAGTTTTCTGAATAGTTAACACATTTATATGTTCCAAAAAAGTATGGTGGGTGTTAAGTCCCCATCCCACCCTGTCCCGTATGTCCAGTTTCCATCTCCACTTATATATTTATTTTGTGTGCATGTGTGCGCAAGCAAATATATATTGCACGAATATATTTGGACTCACATAAAAAAAAATTAAAGGTAACACATTTTTGACATTCTTCTTTGTGCCCACAATCCTAACACTAACTCTTTACTGCCTCTTTTCTCGGCTCATTATTCAATTAATAGAACACTTATGTTCAAGGAATTTTGTTAGTAACTCTGAAGAATCGGTAGTTTCTCATCAAATTCTGTTTGCCTCCAGCCTTTATATTCCATCCACAACCCAGTTTTCTAGAAACCTGAGATCTACTTCCAAAGTCTGAAGTGCATAGAGCATAACGAACACGAACATCACGCGGACAAGGAGACTAAACTCCTCGGAAGAACTCGTGAGGGCGGAAGCGGTAGGGAAAGTAGTGCGGGAAGGGTCGGACGCCGGAAAGGTGGGGATAGACGTGGGTGGGCGGGACCTGGGGGAGGTGGGTCCGGTAGGCACCGCCCAGGCTTTTGGCGCCAAAAGCCAAGGACTCTTCTCGCGAGAGTCTCGCGAGATACACCGTTTCTCGGCCGCGCGGATCCCTGTGCTGTGCCTACGGCAGTCTGCTCGAGGTGAGAGCGGGCTGGCGGGAGAGTGAAGTTCCCGAGGGGAGAGCCGGCCGAGGGAGTCAGGCTGGGGAGCGGGGATGCCGGGAAGTCGCAAGGAGGGAGTGAGAAAGCAGGAGGACATGACTGAGACGGACCTGGGCTGATTGGGACTGGAGAGGAAGGAGGCCTGACCGGCTGAGGCCTGTGCGGAGAGGAGGTCGGTGGGGACCAGGGCCGGCGCTTTTACTTCTTGTTTACGTTTCGGGTCTGTCTCTCTCTAAACCAGGCCTTTTAGTGTAAGGGAACGTGTGTCAGATACATCTTTATATCTCCAGTTTCTGTACCGGGGCTTCTAAACACTGGAGGCGTCCTGTGAATGTTGAATGAATGAATGAGTGTGGTTGAAGTGAGAGGACAGACAGGGGAGTGAGGATGAAGGGAGGTCGGAGAAGAGGGATGGGATGGGAAGTTTTGTGGTTTTAGGGCTGGGTAGCAAGGAGGTCATTGAGTCAGTTTGGTAGGACTTCCTAGCGACAGGGACTTCTGTTTTGGTGACTTAGAAAAAGTTGGGCATTGGACACCTAAGGGACTGGGAACGAATTTGGATATTAAATTTTTTTGTTACCTTCACTCTTCTGCGAGTCTGAGGACTAGAGGAGGAAGTGAAGAGACCTTAATCAATGTCTAAAAAGAGACTAGGCAACCATTGTCAAGAAGTTAAAGACAGAGCTATCTTTTTTTGCGGTACGCGGGCCTCTCACTGATGTGGCCTCTCCCGTTGCGGAGCACAGGCTCAGCGGCCATGGCTCACGAGCCCAGCTGCTCTGCGGCATGTGGGATCCTCCCGGACCGGGACACGAACCCGCGTCCCCTGCATCGGCAGGCGGACTCTCAACCACTTCGCCACCAGCGAAGCCCGAGACAGAGTTATCTTATTCACTACAAGTTTCCTGACAAGTCCTGCCCCAGGCTTGGCTGGTTCCTTGCATTGCATCGTTACACTTAATATAGTTTGTGCCCTGTTATCTCATTCATAGTTCCCTGTTGGCTTCAAAGGTGTGAGCCCCATTTCTTCCCAGAAGGCTTAACTATTGATAGAATGAGGCCCAAAAGTTCGTTTTTTCTGCAAGATGGCTCTAGTAGTGCTTCTTAGTTGTCTTTAACTTCATTTGAAACAATGAAATATCAATGTGCATTTAAAAAAAAACTTATCAAAATTGGTGAATTTTTGTGTAGCCATTTTGATATTGAAGATGGAAGACAAAAAGCAACACTTTTGTCATAATTATGCTTTGTTATTTCAAGAAAGGTAAAAATGCCACTGAAACATAAAAAAGGATTTGTGCAGCGTATGGAGAAGGTGCTGTGACCGATCGAACGTGTCAAAAGTGGTTTGTGAAGTTTCGTGCTGGAGATTTCTCGCTGGATGATGCTCCACGGTCAGGTAGACCAGTGACGTTGAAAATCATTTGCACCAGCTTGGTTATGTGAATCACTTTGATGTTTGGGTTCCACATAAGTTAAGCAAAAAACCTTCTTGACCATATTTCCGCATGCGATTCTCTACTTAAACGTAAAGAAAACGTTCCGTTTTTAAAACAAATTGTGATGGGCAATGAAAAATGGGTACTGTACGATAATGTGGAATGGACGAGATTGTGGGGAAAGGGAAATGAACTACCACCAACCACACCAAAGGCTGGTCTTCATGCAAAGAAGGTGATGTTGTGTATATGGTGGGATTGGAAGGGAGTCCTCCATTATGAGCTCCTTCCGGAAAACCAAAGATTAATTCCAACAAGTACTGCTCCCATTTAGACCAACTGAAAGCAGCACTTGACGAAAAGAGTCCAGAATTAGTGGAAAATGCATAATCTTCCATCAGGATACCACAAGACTGTATGTTTCTTTGATGACCAGGCAAAAACTGTTACAGCTTGGGTAGGAAGTTCTGATTCATCCACCATATTCACCGGACATTGAACCTTCGGATTTCCATTTATTTCAGTCTTTACAAAATTCTCTTAATGGAAAAAATTTCAATTCCCTGGAAGACTGTAAAAGGCACCTGGAGCAGTTCTTTGCTCAGAAGGATAAAAAGTTTTGGGAAGGTGGAATTATGAAGTTACCTGAAAAATGGCAGAAGGTAGTGGAACAAAATGGTGAATACGTTGTTCAAAAAATTTCTTGGTGTTTTTCATTTTTACTTAACCGAAGGAACTTCAATATGACCTTTAACTGCCTTTCCAATTTTGAAAACCTATGGTTGATACTTTGTTTTTTTTTTATGTACTTGTGGTCTTGGAAGTTTAGAATTGGAGAGACTTTGGAGATCCTCTAGCTCCAGTAGTTTTACAGTTTTGGGGAAGCTTTGGAATTCTTCATTCCTCCATTCAACAATTATTTCAGGGACTTCCCTGGTGGTCCAGTGTCTAAGACTCTGCGCTCCCAATGTAGGGGGCCCAGGTTCGATCCCTGGTCAGGGAACTAGATCCCACATATGGCAATGAAGAGTTTGCATGCTGAAACTAAAGATCCCGCATGCCGCAAGTAAAGACCCTATATGACGCAACGAAGATCCCGAGTGCTGCAACTAAGACCCGGCACAGCCAAATAAATAAATATTAAAAAAAAAAAAACCAAATTCTTTCTTTCTTTTTTTAGTGGCCCACTGCAGTTATTAAATCCTGCTAGACAGGAATTACAAGTATCATTGCCATCAGAACTCTCACTGTCCATAAACTCAGGAACTGAACAGATTCAGATAATTTTTTGAGATACCTTTCCTTCATGAACTCTCATGTTATCCCAAACTCAGGAATCTGATAGATTTGGGTAATGCATTACACTACCCATGACCTGAACTCACTAAAAATAATTCTCACCATCTGAGTTCAGGAAACACATGTATTTGCATAGTGAGGATTCCTGGGCTACGTGAAATGAGAAAGCTCAATTGGCCACCTCAGTTCTCTCTGGGGCCACCCCCTTGTTCCCCTCCTCCAGGGTCCCAGCCTTGCCCTCCAGGAGCCCCTTACCTGTGCATTTCCCTCTTGGCCACATTTGAAGTAGGCGTTAGGAGGTGTGCCCTCCTTTGGGGCTGCAGAACTGCTCAGGTTTTCTGCTAGTTCGAGTTGGGAGGACCAAGGTCAACAGCTATTTCTTGAGCACTGGCTGTATATCACTTCTGGGGATACAGTAGAGGAGCACAGAGACCCACCTTGTCATTGCCCTTTTAGAGCTACAGTCTATGATGGGAGACAGACATTAATCAAATAATCACACAAATAGAACCTAATATTGGAACTGGGTGAGTGCTACAAAACTTGTACTTGACATTTTGAATGCTTGTCATAGGAGGATTTAATTTAGGAAAATTGGGGAAGACTTTTCTGAGGTGACGGTTGAGATCTGAAAGAGATTAGGAGTCAGGGAAGAGCCTTCAAGATAGGAAACAGCTTTTGTAAAGGTCTAGTGGCCTGAGGGATAGAAAGAAAAAGCATGGAGAATGGTGTGAAGTAAGTCTGGAGAAGTAGGAAAGTGCTAAACCCTGCAGGGCCTTGGAGTTTTATCATTATCCTAAGAGCAGTAGGAAGCCATTGAAGTATTTAAGCCTAGCAGTAATGTGATCAGCTTGACATTTCCAAAGGTTCAGTTTAGCTGTAATATGGAGAATGGATTGAAAGGGCAAAATGGATAGGAGTAATGGTGTAATCCAAACAAGAAGTGTTAGGAAGTGGTTGTGGAAATAGGGAGAAATGGACGGACTCAAGGGTTAATCTGGAAGTAAAATGGACAGGGTATTTAGGATGGGGGAATGAAGTGTTAAGGATGACTTGCAGGTTTCTGATATATAGCTGGATAGGTGTCATTCATTGAATTGGGAAAATTTAGAAGGTTGGTTTTATACATGATGAGTTATAGGTGCCTTTGAGAAATTTTAGAGCTGTAAAATGAGAAGTAGGGATTTAGAGCTCGGATTTGATGCTCAGGTGGAGATAAAAAATTAATGGGTCATCTATAAATTAAAACCATGTGCATAACTGAGTGAAGAGGGCCTAGGATGAAGTCTTGGATACTAACTGACCAGGTTAGAGGAATATGAATCTGCAAAGAAGATCCAGGAGGAGTGTCCAGGAAGGGAGGAAAGCCAGTTGGGTACTGTGTTTCAGGAGTCAACAAAAACACTTTTCCAGAAAAAGGAACTGATCAGAAGTGTCAGATGTTTCTGAGAGGTCAAGTAAGATGGTACTGAAAAGCATTCTTTCAAGTTACCAACTTAAGGATTATTTCCATTTCTTCAAAGGAAACCTTACTAGAAAACCAATATGTAAACAGTATTTTTATTTTTATTTTTCCTTTTTCGGTCCTCCTGCACAGCTTATGGCATATTAGTTCCTGGAGCAGGGATTGAACCCGGGCCCTCAGCAGTGAGAACACAGAGCCCTAACCACTGGACTACCAGGGAATTCCCAACAGTATTTTTTAAAAAGCTTCTCTGGTTGAAGTGGGGGTGAGGTATTGTACCCTGCCTATTTCACACCCCTTTGGACCACAGTTTGAAACCCTCTGAAAAGTTAAAATCATCATTTTATGATGGGGAAACTCAACAGTTGAGGTAAAATGATTTGCTCAAAATCATATTGTTATTTAGTGGTAGGGTCTACATTAGAACTCAGTTCTAATTTCTAACTTTGTTCTTTTTTCCATAACTTATCTTCTTCACTTCAGTTCATGATGTGTGAGTTTGAAATATGGTTTAACTGACTGAAACACATGCATTTTGCTGCAAGTGGAACTTAACTGTGTAATAAGAAGACCACTTGGATGCATAAACATGTTTACTTTTTTTTTCCCCCCTAGAGGAAAAGATGCTAGAACCACAGGAGAATGGCTTGATTGACCTACCAGATTATGAGCATATAGAAGATGAAACTTTTCCTCCATTCCCACCTCCAGCCTCTCCAGAAAGAGAAGATGGTGAAGGAGCTGAACCTGAAGAAGGTCTGTATAGGGTCCCAAAGTGGTGTCCATGTTCAGCTATCCATCTAACAGCTTAGAAATGATACATTTTATAAATAAGGCTTAAATTACTTAAGTAATATTAAATCTTGGTATATTTCACCAGAGTTAGGGAGAGGAGCTCCTGTTCCTGTACCTCCAAAGAGAACAGTTAAAAGGAATATACCCAAGCTGAATGCTGAGAGGTACATTTACTATTTCCTTAAATATTTATACTTTTTTCCTATCATTTTTTCCCTTTTATGTTACAGGCTTTTGGTTGGGATGATTTGGAGATCAGACATTTTTCTCAGTTCAGTAGTTAATATTTTTTTCTTCTTATGGTCTTGGTTTGGCCTTGATGGCTTTAGAAAACTTGAAATTTAAAACATATTTCTATTCACAGATTAATTTCAGAGAGAGGGCTTCCAGCATTAAGGCATGTGTTTGATAAGGCAAAATTCAAAGGTAAAGGTCATGAGGTAAGAAGTGTCTGATTTTTATTTTAGACCTTTGTTTTTTAAAATATCAATAAGACTGTGGGCCCATTATCATGTTCTTAGGAATCTTAGAATGTTTCACAGATACCATCATTCATCATCATATCTCTTTAGAAACTATGATGTAGTAGAAAGGACACTATTTGAAGACATTTAGGAACTGTAAATCTCTGCACAAACGTACATTTAAAAATTCTCTTTGAATTGTGTAGCGTGTAGATACAATTTTTTGCAGATGATATCTTTGTAGAGCTTTGCAGTTTATGAAGTATTTTCAATTATATTCTTTCATTATCAACCTCTGGGGTAGGTGTTGGTCCCGTTATCTAGTGAAGGAAGCAGAGTTTTAGAGTTTTAAGCCTCCACTGCGAGTGGTTAAGGGCAGAGCCTCGACTTTCCATTTCACGGCCCAGCTAGAGTAACATTAACACAGCATGAGCATGATCTTGGTGTGGTATTCAGGATAGTTGGAAAGAGGGAAGCAGCTGGAGGCAGATAGCAATTCAGAGGCTATTTCACTACCAGCAGAATGAGGTGAAATAGCCTGGATAGGGTAATAGTAGAGGGATGAACAATATATAATACTTGGAGGTGATTGGGAGGTACAAAAGTAAAAATTAATCCCAAGATTTCAAACCTGGGAGGCTGAAAATTGTAGTACACTTGCTTAGTTTCGGTGGACAGGAAGGGAGCATATAAGTCTGTGTCCTATTTTGCCACAAAACTAAACATAAATCAAGATATTTTAAAACCATGCCCAGCTCGGTTAATTCATTGCTCTTATTGAAATTTTCAGGTAGTAGTGATGAATTGGTGCTTTGAATTTATGACCTCTTCATCATTTTCATAATAAGTACTTTAAACTTATACAAAGGATAAATATTTTGTGTTCCTTCACTGGGTGAGGTTGGGCTCTGAGTTTGTCTAGTCTTCTGTACTTTGCCTTTGAAAATTCTACTATTTTCTAACAAAGTTGAATCCTTGATGCTTTTTTCTCCATGTATAACTTGGAACTTCACACTGTATTTAGGTATTTCTCTTCTCTATCCCTTGGGTGTAATGTGATATTGTGAGGTGGCTGATCACCTACCCCAACAACTGGAAAATGGTCATAGGTGATTGAACTTTTTTTTTTAATTTAAAAAAATTTTTATTTTATTATTTTTGACCGTATTGGGTCTTCATTGCTGCACGCGAGCTTTCTCTAGTTGCGGCGAGCAGGGGCTACTCTTCGTTGCAGTGCGTGGGCTTCTCGTTGCAGTGTCTTCTCTTGTTGCGGAACACGGGCTCTAGGCGCGCCGGCTTCAGTAGTTGTGGCTCATAGGCTCTAGAGTGCAGGCTCGGTAGTTGTGGCACACGGGCTTAGTTGCTCCACGGCATGTGGGATCTTCCTGGACCAGGGATCGAACCCGTATCCCCTGCGTTGGCAGGCAGATTCTTATCCACTGCGCTACCAGGGAAGCCCGATGATTGAACTTTTGAAAGAACTTTTATTTTTATCAGGATGAGAATGAAATGACATTATGTTCTCAGCATTACATATTGAGTTATTGGTAGAGTTGATTATTTTAACCATTAGCTTCTTAGACAAGATCATATACCACCACAAACAATAATTGCCAACATTTGAGGACTTGCTTTGTGTCAGGCACTTTACTTGTATTACTTAATCCTCCTAACAACCCAATGAGGTATGTATGTTCTCGTTTTATTCATGACGAAAAAGGCACACAGAGGTAAAGTGATTTGTTCAAAGTCACACAGCTGTTAAGTGGTAGAATTTAGATTTGAATCTATGCAGTCTGATCCAGAGCTTTTAACCAGTCTCCTATTTTAAAATACTATAAGAAAATAAAAAAATATTGTACAGTAAAATCAGGAATTTGAAACTTTTTTCATTTATTACTCTAGTTTATTAAACTTTGTTTTTCATTTTCATTAAAAAAATTTTTTAATGTTAGATTGAAATTTCAAATATAGAGAGGTATTGTGGTCTGAGAATGTTTACACTGTTCTTGCTAGTCTTTGGTACTTTGCCCTTGGGATTTCTGAATATATTTTCACAGAGCTGATTCTCAGTGCTTTCTGTATATTGTTTAGAGACCTGTCAGTTTGTATAGTCATTTCTAAAAGATATCTTGCCATATTTTATTGAAGTTTATTTTCAAGTATTTATAGGTCTGAAAAGACACATGTGATTATCTTTTAACTTTTATTAAGTTTTCATACTGGGTTTCTGTTTTCCTCTGATTTTTAAAAATCTATCCAGTGCTATTAGACTGCAGCCCTCTAAGTCAGCAGTCCCCAACCTTTTTGGCACCAGGGACTGGTTTCGTGGAACAGTTTTTCCTGGGGGACGAGGGGTGGTGAGGGGTGTGGGGGATGGGTCAGGTGGTAATGTGAGCGATGGGGAGCGGCAGATGAAGCTTCGCTCTCTTGCTCGCCCATTGCTCACCTCCTGCTGTGTGGCCCAGTTCCTAACCCACCATGGACCGGTCCATGGCCGGGGGTTGGGGGCACCTGCTCTAAGCCCTTGATAAATATTTTTCTTCTTAAAGTTTCTTTTAAAAGTTTATTAACCTTATAAATATAAAAGGACACGTGACTTTGATACTATTATTCAGTTCTAAAATCTGCTGACAAGGTCAGTTGTGAGAATGAGTCTTCTATTTAGCATTTTTATTTTTATGTTCCAGGCTGAGGACTTGAAGACACTAATCAGACACATGGAGCACTGGGCGCATAGGCTATTCCCTAAACTGCAATTTGAAGATTTTATTGACAGAGTTGAATATCTGGGAAATAAAAAGGAAGTTCAGGTAGGTGTTGAGATCATTATGAATATCATTCACAATGCTAAATTGTATAAGGATAGATTAGTGAGGCTAAGTAGCTCTTTGGGGGTCTTCATTTTCAGTCTTAGTAGAGAGAAGGAACTAATAGTAGCTATTTGAACAACTTTTTTTGAAACTAATAATAAAATCAATGACCGTTTTCCCCCAAATCTAAGTGAAAATGTAAAAATGTTTTTTATTTTCAGACCTGTTTAAAACGAATTCGACTTGATCTCCCTATTTTACATGAAGATTTTGTTAACAATAATGGTAAGAATATAGGTTTATCTACTTTATAATAATTTTGCTTTTAGAAATGGATCTAGTTGGGGTAGGCAGTGTTACAGGACTGAGTTCTTAGTCTATTTTGAGTATATAATTAAAGTACAGTAAATAGGAGTGAGTTAAGATGCCTTGGTATGTCTAGAATGTTGTGCATGATATTTGTTTCTTAAAGACATGGTGGTATGCCATTAAGAGATGTTGTAAAATATATTTAGCCACAGAACATGAGCTTTTGAGAACTCATGATGATGACCCATTGATCCTTTGTAGTGCTTGCTAATAAAAATATATGACAAGATACAGTGTTCATATACATGTCCACCATTATAAAAAAGTGGCTCTGGGGCTTCCCTGGTGGCGCAGTGGTTGAGAGTCCGCCTGCCCATGCAGGGGACGCAGGTTCGTGCCCCGGTCCGGGAAGATCCCACATGCCGCGGAGCGGCTGGGCCTGTGAGCCATGGATGCTGAGCCTGTGCATCCGGAGCCTGTGCTCCGCAGCGGGAGAGGCCACAACAGTGAGAGGCCTGTGTACCGCAAAAAAAAAAAAAAAAGTGGCTCTGAGGAATTAGGCAGAACAATTTGATGATGAAATAGGTCACATCTCACACAAGAGTACAGATCTTGTATGTAGGACTTTAGTTAGACCTATGTGACTGTTCCTGGTATTGATTGCATTTGTTAGTTGTACAATGCAACCATAGGCAGTCACACACATCAAAACATATGGTTCCTGCCGACAGAGTCTGTATAGTTATCAGATTTTCTGTGCGATGGCTCCATACATGTTTGTTTTTAAAAAATTTAATAGATGTAGCAGAAAATACAGGCTCCATATAGAATCCCCCAAAATTATTTATAAACTGCTTTTAAAAGTGTGAAGGATTGTGATTTAAATAATCCAAGATTTAATTATTTGGTAAGGTATGGTACGAATTGATGGCATGGGATTTCATAGATGGAAAGGAATTAGTTATTAGAGTCTAAATCCCACAGCATATACTACTGGGTCAGTTAGCTTATTTATCGAACTTTTGTTTGTTTGTTTTTTAATTGATATTTTTTTAAAATTGGAGATGAACAGGGGATAGTGTACGGGGCAAAGGAGAACACAGTTACTTTTACCTAGGGGAAGGGAAAGCTTGGTAGGAGAGGGGAAAGCTTCACAGAGGAGGTATCACAAGTACTTTAAATGATAAGCAGTAGAAGTTAGGCAGAGGTGATTTTGGATAGAGGCAGCCACTTACGCAGAGGCATAAATGAGCATGGCACCATTCATGGAATTACAGGCAAGTTGCGGTATAGGGTACATAGAGGAGGCCTGTATCAGAGAGCCTTGTTTGTTGTTGAATCTGTTTTCTTTGTATCCTAAGAGAATAGTCTCCAGACTTTTGCATGAGGCACTACAACAGTAAAAATATTTTGAACATTTTATTTTTCTAATACATGTACTGCTGTACTGATATGATATATAATGTACATTTTTGACCTTAACATTGCAGTTTTAAAGTAAGAACAATATGATTGAATATTCTACTGAATAATTTTTACCAAAAATTTTGGGCTAATACTTTTTGATCAGTGGTTTGAAGTGGTTTGGTTGTAGATTCAGTTTTTTCTCCCAAATCTTGGTTTTAACCTTTCTAAGATGCGTAAACCCAGATGGAAGTAGAGCATCATTAACTGCACTTAGTAAATCTTGGTATTCATCTTTCAGTCTCATTCACCAGTGCAAGGACTTTGTTGAAGTTTACTAGCAAATTTTCATCTGCCCCTTTTCAATCGTTTTACTTAAAATTAGTCAGTTTTTATATTTTTAGCACGTGTTGTCATGTCATTCCTCTGCTCAGAGCCCTGTAGTGGCTCCTTATTTCAATCAAAGTAAAAGCCACAGTCTTTATATTGTCCTACTTGGCCCTATAGAATCTTGTTTTTGTGTCCTTATCCCATTCCTCTTGCCTCCCTGACGGTATCTTTACTATTCCGTTGCTTCAGCCACACTTGCATCCTAGCTGTTCCTTGAGCCTTCCAGGCATATTTCTATCTTAAGGCTTTTGCACTCTGCCTTGAACACTGTCCTTTGCCCTCCCTCCTGCCCCTAAATCTGCATGGCTAACTCTCTCACCCGCATCAAACTGTTTTCAAATGTCAGTTCAGTGAAGTCTCCCCTACCACACTGTTAAAATTGGACCCCCAGCCCCATTCCTGATTTCACTATGCTTTTTTTAAATAGCTCTTATTTCCCTTTAGTTATTATGTAGTTTGTTTATCTGTTAGTTTATATGTACCAGAGTGATGGCATCCTGTAGCACATTGACTATTCTTGGCTTTAGCTTCTTTGCCACAATAGCTTGCCTATGAATGTGGCAGTGAATGAATTTCATGTGTGGTTCTAATTTTTTTTAATGGCACCTTTATCCTAGTCAAAAGTGGTTATATTCACATGGATTTTCTGTTAAGATATTGTCTGTACTAAAGAGGTCATTTACTGTTGAAGAGATCTTTCCTTTCATGGCTCACAGAAAAGTATTGAATAGTTTTTTATGTATTTCATTACTATTAATTCAGAATCCTATAAGCCCTATAAGGTGAAGCATATTAGAAATCCTGTATATTGCATAATTGGTTCTAATACTTGTTTCTTAACTTTTCCAGCAATGTTTTCTAAATGTACTCCATCAGTATTTCCTGACAAAGGAGTGTATTTTAGTTTCTTGACACATTTTTTTCCATATCAGGAAGGAAAAGTGTATGGCTTTCTGTCTTTCACTATTAAGGAAGAAACCTCAAAAGGGGCTTAGATTGTAAAATGCTGGATTAAATACATGATTTTTAAACCTCACTGGTTTGTATTTATGTTTTAAATATTTTGCTAGTTGTGATGGTTTTTACTGGCATTAGCTAATACCTCACTGTAATATGTGCATAGGACAAGGAGAGTAATTGTAAACTCATTTCAAATGGTGGTCTTGGTGATAATGAAGTTTTTTTTTACCTACTTCTCAGATCTGATGAGGTTATTTATTATTTTTTTAACACCATAATGTGAATGATACAGAGAGAAGGTGAAGTGTCAGCTTTGCCATCTTCTTAGTTCTTGCTTGTACTTCTGTTATCTTCTACCTACAGGTGTTTTGTTATTTTGCAGAAATCTTTTAAAGCTACCACTTGTGCATTTTGTTAGGGTTGTTTTGGTTAAAATAGATAGTATGTCAGGTTGCTTAACTGGGTAGTCAGAATTAGCTATATATCATAGTATGCTGAAATTAAAAAATGAGTGAGGACCCAATTCCATCCTTCCGCAGTATGAGCTTGCTGTCTTGAAGGTAGCTTACAGACCAGATGATTAGCTGTCATATGGATAAGTGATAGTTTGTCACTGCCAGTTCTTTTAAATATAAGTTAGTAAAACTTAATTTTTTGTAATTCTTAAATGAAATATAAATGGAAGATCTAGTATTTACTTTTCATACCCTGTGGATTATTTTAGGAACATCCTACTTTGAGATAACTGGTGTACAGGGCTTTAAGAATTTATTAAGACTAATCATGTAGAGAGCACTGAATTTTTTAAAAAGTTAACTTGGAAGTATGTCCACAGATCTCTAAATTTCTTCCCCTTTTTCACTTTGTATCTCAGTTTTACTGTACACAAAAAATAGCCTATATAAAATCATTACTGTGTATCATACAGACAATATGGCAAGCTACTAAAATGTTTTTAATATAAAACAAGGATAGGGCTTCCCTGGTGGCGCAGTGGTTAAGAATTCGCCTGCCAATGCAAGGGACACGGGTTCGAGCCCTGGTCCGGGAAGATCCCACATGCTGCGGAGCAACTAAGCCCGTGCTCCACAACTACTGAGCTTGTGCTCTAGAGCCCGCAAGCCACAACTACTGAAACCTGTGCTCCACAAAAGAGAAACCACCGCAGTGAGAAACCCGCACACCGCAAGGAAGAGTAGCCCCCACTCGCCGCAACTAGAGAAAAAGCCTGCACACAGCAACAAAGACCCAGCGCAGCCAAAAATAAATAAATAAATTAAAAGAAAAACACAACAAGGATATACTTTGGATTCTTTGAGTGCTTTTATTAGCAACTAAGAACTTTTGCTTTCTGTTCATGCATGTTTTTAAACTAGTATTCCATTTGACTTAAAATGCCTCTTTAAAGTGATTAATAAATATTCCTTCTACTTGTTTGAATCAAGCATGTATTTGTAACATTCTCATACCTCACAAATTGTTTCTTCAGGTCTGGCACCTTGTTGCTTTAAACTGGTTTTCAGTTAATAGCTGCATAAGCTCTTTTTCTAACTAATTTAACACTACAGATGTACTAATTTTTTCTTTTCTACTGCAGATGAAGTAGGGGAAAATAATGGCCATGATGTAACTGCTACCGAGTTAGATCCCTTTCTGACAAACTCATCTGAAAGTGCAAAGTTTGCTTCTGAGTCAAGTAGAAGCCTAACAGAAGAACAACAACAAAGAATTGAGAGAAATAAACAACTGGCCTTGGAAAGAAGACAGGCGAAGCTACTGAGTAGTAGTCAGTCCCTAGGAAATGGTAAATTTTATGGTGGATTTTATGTGCTACCATTAATATATCAAGGGCATGTTAGGAATTTTAACTTCTTTACTCTTCCCCAAAATAAAATACCTCTAGGAATAGACAAATGTGATATAGTATATTAAGCTTATGTATATTTGAGAGAGAGTGGGCTTGAGAGCTAGCTGGAATCCTCAAAGAATATATGCGTCCAGGACGGTTTTCTGGGTAGCTGAGTGTCTCTTAAAAAATTGTTTTAATCATTTAAAATTGATTCTGGATCTTTCGAAAACATATTCTTCCCTGACTCCTTAAAACATGTGACATACAATTTTATCTTTATGATAATTAAAACATTACTGTGGTACTTTCCTAAACATATAAAATTCTTTGTACCCATTGAGGACTTTAGAGCCATTTGCTGTGACATGAATAGGTCCAAAAATGCTTTTTATTGCAGCGTTTCACTTCTGTTGTGAGCCGTCATGTTTGATTTCTTGTTGATTCCCTTGTCTCTTTTAAAACTGCCTTAAAATTTGCTGTTTTTTAAACAGACTGTGGGTTTGGAAACTAGACAAGTTTTGTTAAAACTATATTTAAAAATAATTGCAAATTGGTTTTGAATGAAGCACGCACAGTCGCATTTATCTTTGTCAATTTCCAATCCAGTTTTTTCCTTTTGAAATGGGAAAATAGGAATTACAGTAAGTAGTGAAGATTACATGTTGTAAAACAAGTTTCACCCAAAATAATGAAATTCACAAGTGAAACTTATTCAGTGGTATTATTATGATTTTTTTCCAGTTAGAATGATTTTTTTTTTAACATCTTTATTGGAGTATAATCGCTTTATAGTGTTGTGTTCGTTTCTGGTGTTTAACACAGTGAATCAGCTAAACATATACATATATTCCCATATCTCCTCCCTCTTGTGTCTCCCTATCCCACCCCTCTGGGTGGTCACAAAGCACCGAGCTGATCTCCCTGTGCTACGTGGCTGCTTCCCACTAGCTGTTTTACATTTGATAGTGTATATATGTCAATGCCACTCTCTCACTTCGTCCCAGCTTACCCTTCCACCTCCCCATGTCCTCAAGTCTATTCTCTACGTCTGCATCTTTATTCCTGTCCTGTCCCTATGTTCATCAAAACCATTTTTTTTTAGATTCTATATAAATGTGTTAGCATACGGTATTTTTCTCTTCCTGACTTCACTTTGTATGAGACTCTAGGTCCATCCACCTCACTACAAATAACTCAATTTCATTTCTTTTTATGGCTGAGTAATATTCCATTGTATATATGTGCCACATCTTCTTTATCCATTCATCTGTCGATGGACACTTAGGTTGCTTCCATGTCCTGGCTGTTGTAAATAGTGCTGCAATGAACATTGTGGTACATGACTCTTTTAAAAATATGGAATGCTTCACGAATTTGTGTGTCATACTTGCACAGTGGCCATGCTAATCTTCTCTATCATTCCAATTTTAGTATATGTGCTGCTGAAGCAAGCACTAATTTTTTTTTTTAAGTTTCAAAAAATTTTTAATTATTTATTTTTGTTTGGCTGCATTGGGTCTTTGTTGCTGCACGTGGGCTCTCTCTAGTTGGAGCAAGCAGGGGCTACTCTTTATTGCAGTGCGCAGGCTTCTCATTGCAGTGGCTTCTCTTGTTGCGGAGCATGGGCTCTAGGCGCATGGGCTTCAGTAGTTGCAGCACGTGGGCTCAGTAGTTGCGGCACATGGGCCCTAGAGCGCGGGCTTCTGTAGTTGAGGCTCGTGGTCTCTAGAGCACAGGCTCAGTAGTTGTGGTGCATGGGCTTAGTTGCTCCACGCCATGTGGGATCTTCCCGGACCAGGGATCGAACCTGTGTCTCCTATATTGGCAGGAGGATTCTTAACCACTGTGCCACCAGGGAAGTCCAGGATGGATTTAACTTTTAACTTAACAAATGGATGTTTTGTACTACCTTGTGAAAAATTTAATGAAGATACAACTATTGTTGATGACAGTTCTTCCTTGCTGTCATTATCAAAGTTTACGTGGCAATAAGCATTTTAAGGCTCATCTTCTATTTATAATATATGACTTTAAGGGACTTCCCTGGTGGTGTAGTGGATAAGAATCCGCCTGCCAGTGCAGGGGACATGGGTTCAATCTCTGGTCCAGGAAGATCCCACATGCCATGGAGCAACTAAGCCTGTGCGCCACACCACTGAGCCTGTGTTCTAGAGCCCATGAGCCACAACTACTGAGTTCTTGTGCCACAGCTACTGAAGCCCATGCGCCCTAGAGCCCGTGCTCCGCAACAAGAGAGACCACCGCAATGAGAAGCCCACGCACCGCAACTAGAGAAAGCCCGTGCACAGCAACAAAGACCCAATGCAGCCAAAAAAAATAAAAATTAAACAAAAGATATTTATAATATATGACTTTAAAATTTTTCACTAGAAATGAGTATCTTAAATGTTCTTTACTGTAGATCACTTTGACATACATCTCATAAGAACATTTGATTTTTAAAAACTTCTATCTAGTAGTTGTGATTTTTTAAATGAGAACAGTTGCATTTGACTGATTCAAAAGTCTGAGTTCAAGACTTGCATTTTGAATGGATTTTATACATGTATAGAAATGGCTTTATTTGGAAGAAAGTTATAATTAACATTAACTAAAGTGATCGTAGATTTCATCTCTACTGATTTAAACATGTGAAGTTTGTATTAGGTAAGATTGGATCAGGTGCTTGTAATGAATAATAATGATTTCTCTTGCAGACTTGTTAATGAACACACCCAGTACACAGACACCTGAAGAGGGTAGTACAGGTGAGGAGCAAAAGGAGGAAGAATCAAATGGATTTAACAAAGACCTTCTAGACAATCCACATAATGATGCTGCTGCCAATACTGTAAATGAAGAGGAGGAATTAAAAATAGAGAAAATGCAACTGGACCAGTCCTTTTAAAAGACATAATAGTAAGTTAAAGCTTCATCTTGAAATGTTACTGAGGTTGGATAGGCCTCAAATGAGAAAATCTATTAACTTGCTATCTTCCAAATTTGAGATGACTATGCATTTTGCCTACTTTGAGTGAAAATCCTTATATAGTGAAACTTTTATAAATTCCTGTTTAAAATCTGGTATTATCTATACTTGTTTCTTATCCACTTTCGTTGTCTATTTATTCTCCTTAGTGTTTATTTTTATATGGGTATGACCTTGTAAAAATGATTGGTAGTTAATAAGTAGCTTCAACTGCTAGTGTGCCATTGAATGCCCTGTTTTTACTAAATTGGGTGGTGTTTTAAGATGTAAATATGTAATAAATGCTAATGTTCTTTTTTTTTTTTTTAAATAATAAGCTCACAAACTATCCCTAGAGGCTTTATAAAAGTTTCTCATTGCTATTTAGTTCTACACTTTACACTTTTGGTAAAACGTTCACAGTTGTTATATGTGTTTACATGTCTTTTGAGGAGTCACTTTAATACTTAAAGGGTCACGTGAAAAGCTGATACATTGCCTGGCCTGCATAGGTGCTGGGGAAGTTCACATGCTCCTTGGTACCTTACTGACTAGTTAGTTGGAGAGAAACTTGCAAAGTATAATGGGGAACACAGAGCACGTAGGGAGGATTCGGTGGAGATGCCAAGGATTGGGAAGAACATGTACAATAATATAGAAATGAAAATCTAGGAAATGAGAGCTTTGGGAATGGTGAATGTGAGGCTGAAGTGTTAGGGCCACGTGGTGGGAGGACCTAATTGGAGTTTTTCCTGCCTGAGTTTATCAACTTGGTGGAAGGGTAGTTGCAGATAGAAAGTACCACGTTGAGAATCAAGTTTAGAGGTTGGTCTGGTTCTCGGCAGGAGATTCCCATGGGGGAGAGGGAAAGGCAAAGCTAGTTTTTACAAGCTAGGACATGGGAAGGTTGCTTTTTTGGGGGAAGACTGGCAGAGTGATGGTGCTAAGTAACAAGTCTCCAGCAAGGGCAAGTCCAATGCAACTCATCATCCAAGGAGAGGGTGGGAATGGAGGTTTGAGAGAACAGACCTTACCCTGTGCACCCCATCCGGCTCCCTAAGCCCTATCCCCAATTGGTGCTGGGGACAGCAGGGGTGACTGAGTCAAATACGAAATAGGGAGTTTTAAAGTGGATACGTGGACAGGATGGAGCTTATTATCTGAAGGTGACTGAAAAGTTAATCTGGCAGATGTCAGAGGGGCCTATGACCCAAATGTAGCAATTACTGGAAAAATTAATACTATAAAAGAATGGATTTGAGACAAGCTAACCAAAAGTCAATTCTGGGTTTATTAGCAAGACCAGCAACATGATTTGCAGAGCCAGGATTCAGTATCTACTTATCTCTGAAAAACCACTGTCCATAGTGACCTAACTGTACTTTATTTCATGCAACTTAAATTAATGATAAGAAAACATTTCACAAATATCTGAAATATCTACCCAATCCCACTCAGGGATTGGGTGACATGGGGTGATGCAGAAAATTACATCTTAATGTTTAAAAGAAGGTAAAACATTCACGTAAGACAAAGGTCTTTTAATGAAGTAAGAAGAGTTTCATATTCCATAACTGTTGGAAACATCCAGGAGAGCCAGGTCTCTTATTTCCTCTAGAAGTGTGTACAGGCTTCTTCCCTTTGTCTGGCAATATTTTTGATAATCTTTCTCGATGACATTTACTTTGACTTCTTGAGCAAGCTGAGCTTCCTCCATTGATCTAGTTACTTCTTTCACTAAATCACTCTTTAGCAAGAGGGAACTCTGCTGAAAAAGTTCTGTATCTGGCATCATGTATGGTTTGTTGCTTATTATTTCAAGCCTTACTGTATCAGAATGGCAACGTGAGGCCTGTACAGATATTCTCACCTGTCATAGAGGAGAAAATGCATATTACTAAATCACAGTCTTTGTTCTTTGCAGTGAAAGCAATACTTAACATAAATACAGACTTACTGTTACGTGGTCAAACAAATGGAACGTAACAGATTCCCCTCCTGTCGTGGTAGAGGTGATTTTGTTTTGAAATCGTTGAAGGGATCCTGGTTTCCATTCAGAATGGCCACCTGGGCTGCATGAGATCACCAAACCATCTTTATTTTTTAGATAAGCAGCACCTTTAATCCCAAACCTGAATCATTGTCAGAATAAAAATCCAGAGATAATATATTCTTAGTATGCAGATTTTGTATACTTATCTAGAATGCTAGTTTTTCTTACAGATTAAAAACAACTTTTCCAAAAAAAAAAAGAACTTTTCATCTGATTTACCTCCAAATACCTATTTCACTGAGCAGATGGAAACAAAATGTTTGGCTAAATAACAAAGTAAAACTCTAAGACTGATACAGATGTACTAGATTCTAATATCCATTTATACTTACATAATGAAGTATGTATTACATTATGTACATATGATAACTACAAAACAGTTGCTAAAATAAATGCTTTAATAAATTACATCTAATGTACCATTTATATACCATGTCTATACTTTAAGGTTAACCATGATTTCTTAATAACTATTGTGTTAGAAATAACATACCTTGGTATAAACACAAGCACACCGTTTGTCCTAATTGAATAAATAACCCCATCAGCTATGCAACGCTCCTCAGTTTCTGGGTCTTTGTCTTTAAAATACATGCACTGGAAGAGCTCTGTAGACTGCTTCTGAGAATGCTGTGCTGCCTGTAAGAAGAAGCACAACCCCAAAGCATGATGATGGACTTCCCTGACATCCCCAGAAGAAACATGGGATTCATATTCCCACAGAAACAATGACTTTTAAAAAAGGCTAGGTTCTAGAAAACTATTAATACAAACATTCTTCTCTATTATGAATTAAGTCAAATTTGAGGGACGCTTTTTCATTCCCTCAAAAATGTCTTAGAAAATTCTTTTAAGAAAACAACTTGTTATTTAAAAACTGTCTATAGTTCATACAGGAAGAGGAAAAGTATCCAGGTCTCTGTCTTACCTTTATTTTCAAGTCTGTCCTACCAAAATCCTGCTGGTAGAAGTGCAAATTAGAACTACTATTCTGAAGGGCAATTTAGTAATAGGTATGAAAGTTTTATTTGTGCAGCCCCTTTGACTCAGCAATTCATTATTACCAGGAATTTATCCAGGCAAAATGTGAGAAGTCTGTAAAAGTGTATACACAAGGATGGTTGTAAACTAGATTGCCTGAACAGTGCTGCCTAACAGAACTTTCTACAATGATGGAAGCGTTCTGTATCTGTGTTGTCCCATAGGTAGCCACAAGCCACACGTGTCTGTTGGGCACGTGAAGTGTGGCTAGTGTGACTGAGGAACTGAATTTTTAATTTAAACCAACATGACTAGTGGCTATAATGTTGCACAGTATCAAACTAGAACCCTGGATACAGAAAATAATGTTAAACATTTAGGCAGCTTCCAATCTTATGTATCACCAAATGGTCTAGTTCTAAGCTGTACAACATTATGGCCACTAGCAACAATATAAAATAGAATACAAAGCAGTTTCTAAAATAATGATGTAACTATATTGACATGGTGTGCTATCAATAACATGTGAAGTGAAAAAAGGCAGATTACAAACAGCAGGTATGATTGGATAATTTTATAAATAAAAAGAATTGTCTAGAATTGTTATTATCTTTGGGTAGTTAGATAATAATAATCTTTCACATTTCTACATTTTGGGAAGAACATCTAACCCATGGTAAATCTCATAAATCCACATTAAGTCACTTTAGAACATTTGTAAATGTATTGAGAGCTACTCAACAAACTTTATGATTTTTCATATTATTTCGTTGGTTGGAATAATTCTAGAGTTTAATTTGCTAGAATATACGGTACTTCATTCCACTATACAATAAAGCTTTTCTGTTAGCAAAAGAGATGACGGGTAAGAGAATTAAAAATTCCCTCTTACTCGGTTTCTGTTGTTGATATGTCTGCATAATTCCTCCAGATCTTTGTTGCTGAACAAATTTTCCTTAACTTCCATTTTCTTATCTTTTGAAATGGCTGCCATTAACAGTCGGTGTACTATAATATCTGAGTATCTTCTTATCGGAGAGGTAAAGTGAGTATATTTATCTAATGCTAGACCTTCAAAAATAAACCAAAAAATCAAAATAAACAAAAAGATATACTTTTTAAACAACTTGCTCAAGGTTATGGGTACACAGAATAAAATTTTATCATTCACCGTAGTGATGGAACTCTTCCTCGGCACATGATCCAGTGGAGAAATACAGTGCGTTAGACATGGCTTGTGTAGCCATTGATCGAAGCAACCAGTTGACAATGGGATCGTTGGGGTCATTTGCATTATCCAGAGAATCAGCCAGTGCTTTATTGGACCTGACAAAAAAATGTAAAAACTTTTATTTAGTCCCCAGCAATAATTTACAAGTCAACACTCTGAGGGGAACCCTTCACTCACCATCTGAATACGTTCATCTGCCAGTAGTTAAATTTATTTTGGACACATTTCAGAAGCAACTTTTTTCAACTATAGAAATCTAGTTTGCGGGGCTTCCCTGGTGGTGCAGTGGTTAAGAATCTGCCTGCCAATGCAGGAGACACGGGTTTGAGCCCTGGTCGGGGAGGATCCCACATGCCACGGAACAACTAAGCCCGTGTGCCACAGATACTGAGCCTGTGCTCTAGAGTCCACAGGCCACAACTACTGAGCCCGTGTGCCACAACTACTGAAGCCTGCACGCCTAGAGCCCGTGCTCCACAACAAGAGAAGCCACCGCAATGAGAAGCCTGCGCACTGCAACGAAGAGTAGCCCCTGCTCGCCACAACCAGAGAAAAGCCCGTGCAGCAACGAAGACCCCACACAGCCAAAAAAAAAAAAAAAGAAAACTAGTTTGCTTTTGAGGTTTAAACAAAGAGTGTCAGAATTCAAATACATTTCTTTTTTTTTGTGCCATGCTGCGTGGCTTGCAGGATCTTGGTTCCCCGACCTGGGATCGAACCTCGGCCATGGCAGTGAAAGCGCCAAGTCCTAACCATTGGACCACCAGGGAATTCCCTCAAATACGTTTCTTAAGTACTGAAGAGTAATGTGCTGAACTTATGAGATGAAGTTATACTCAGCACATAGTGGGTGGCCAGGTACTTGCTGAATTAAATTCCTAACACCCTTAACCTTAAACATCCTGTACAGGTCAAAGAATGGATTTTTTCTTTTTTTAAATCAAGAATTATTGAGCCAGGGGCTCCCCTGGTGGTCCAGTGGTTAAGACTCCACGCTTTGATCCCTGGTCGGGGAACTAAGATCCTGCATGTCAGGCAGTGCAGCCAAAAAAAAAAAAAAAATTATTGAGCCAGAGAGAGTTAAAAAACAAAACAGAACTAAACCTGAGGTACACAAGTAAAAGAAACCCAGAAAAAGAAAACCTTTTTCTTTTTTTAAAGAGGGCGAGAGGAAGCATTCTATTTAGTTACTTTTAAGTAATTTTTTAAAACCCAGGAAATATAGAGTTATATTAACAATTTAATAATATAGTATATAATTCAGTTCTGTACCATAGCCTGCCAAGAGAAATGGGGAAGGAGAACGGCGGATGATAAAAGGAGAAGCAATGTGACAGAGTGGGCACTAATGTGAGCTTTCAAGTCTGACAGACATGGATTCCAATCCTGGCTCTGCCCTAGCCAGCTGCTAAATTATCGGCAAATTAACCTCTCCAGACTTAATTTCCCTATCTGTAAAATATGAATGAATGATCCAAGCTAACACCTGAAAGCCCTTAGCATGTGCGTCTGGCACGCACTCAGAGCTCAACCACGGACTAAACCAGTTAAGAGATACTATCGCCTAAAGAGAGAGGCAAAAAATCCATTTTCATAAATGAATAAAAGATATATTAATTAGCACCTGTTACAACAAAATATTGAAAAAAGAATCCCCTTTATACATCATTTTTAACAGGGAAAATATTTTATCCTG